TAAAAATGCTTAAAAATTTGTTTTAAATAATTCTATTATTTTTAAAATAAAATTTGAATTTATACTTTCATTAATTTCGACATTTTTCATCACCTTTGATGCTTTCATCACTTTTGTCACTTTCGGCAAAAGTACTTATCATTTGCCGAAATACTTTCTACCCTCCAAAATACTTTCGGCACCCAACCTTGGGGGTGTTGGTTAATAAGTTTTAGAGGGTTCACTAAAGTCTATTTTACAGAAATTTTTAATATTCGTGAAGAATTTTATGTAGGTGGGATTCAGCAAAAACTAAAAGGTATTTTATTAATGATTGTTTTATATTTCTGACTTTATATTGATTAAAGTTTCATTAATGATTGTTATGAATATCCATCAATCAGTAGTTGTTATAGTAACATTAAACAATAATGTGCAAACGACGACAACCAATCATCTTTTTTGAGGATTATAATAAAGATTAAGATCCAGTTTGTATAGGAGTGATCAAAGTAAGCGTTAAGGACAAGATTTATGAACAAAACATACTAACAAATGTTTTATCAATTATTCAATAGTTTGTGTAGGAGTAATCGAAGTAAGCCTTAAGGACAAGATCTATGAACAAAATATACTAACAATAGTTTGTGTAGGAGTAATCGAAGTAAGCCTTAAGGACAAGATCTATGAACAAAATATACCAACAATAGTTTGTATAGGAATGATCGAAGTAAACATTAAGGGAACAAAATATACTAACAAAAGTTTTATCAATTATTCAATGGTTTGTATAGGAGTGATCGGAGTAGCATTAAGTCAAGGTTTATGAACAAAACATACTAACGAATGTTTATCAATTATTCAATAGTTTGTGTAGGAGTAATCGAGTAAGCATTAAAACAACATCTATGAACAAAATATACCAACAATAGTTTGTATAGGAGTGATCGAAGTAAGCATTAAGGACAAGATCTATGAACAAAACATGCCAACAAACATTTTATCAATTATTCAATAGTTTGTATAGGAGTGATCGAAGTAAGCATTAAAGACAAGATCTATGAACAAAATATACCAACAATAGTTTGTATAGGAGTGATCGAAGTAAGCGTTAAAGACAAAATTTATGAACAAAATATACCAACAATAGTTTGTATAGGAGTGATCGAAGTAAGCATTAAGAACAAGATCTATGAACAAAATATACTAACAAACGTTTTATCAATTATTCAATAGTTTGTATAGAGTGATCGAAGTAAGGATTAAGGACAAGATATATAAAGCTTGCAAAGCAAGTTTCACAAAAATGAACGTTTTATCAATCATTCAATAGTTATGTTTATTATTTATTTTTGTATATAAATTTCTTTTTTATTTTAACTTATATTTAATAACATCACCATGATAAATAATTAAATGAATAAAATCAGAGATAAAACGCCTTTAATTCAATCATCATTGTTGCTTGTTTATTATTCTAATCATTATTTATGTATATAGGTAAAGAAAATTTAAATTCTATTTATTTATTATATTTACTTTTAAAATAAATGCTTATACTATAAGCGACATACCTAAATGATCAAAAATCTGTAAATATTCATAATAATGTAATATTTGGACGCTTATACTTGCAATTGGACGTGTCAAACAAAATTTTGCACATATGAATATAAAGGCAAAATTTGACTTTGAGGGTCAGATTATTTTCGGTTTTATTAACAACCTGCCTTAAAAATTTTCTTAAAACAGATACATATGATGAAGAAATCATATCTCAAATTTGGTGGTGGTTGTTACACGGCAAGGGTATCAAATGAGGGTGTGAAGACATTTGATTATAAAATTTTACTATGGTTCAGATCAAATTTACTATAGCATTTACTTTGGATAACCAATCATTTCCTAGGATAGCATTAAAAGTGTTTGTTTCTGTTACAATTGCTGATAATGGAATTGTTATTCCTCCAATGGTTAGTGGTAAGTCATCTACTTCTCACAAAGGTGAAGTTTTCTGTCCATTCACATTGATGATTACAACAGATGACTTTCGCGTAATTTTTACTCCTAGTTTATCAACAATCCTTTAGAAACTATACTTCCTGCTGCTCCGCTATTTATAATTATAGGAAAGCTTCTTCCATTGGTACTTGCTTTGCAGTACATTGCGGTTGATCTTGTGTCTGCATTTAATTGTTCAGTCTGAGGTGTCTTCTTGGTTCTTCTTGTTTGAGGGGTTCGTAAACTCCTAGACAATTCCGATCTCAATTTTGGTACTGCTTGGAATAATTGCCCGAAGATAATATCAGCCTTCTGCTTCTTGATGTTGGTTACTACTGAGCATAGTTGTATCAAATTCGAAATTGGAGATTGCACTGTATTTCCCTTTTTTCTGGGTGTTCTTTTTGTAGTCCTTTTTCATCATCTCGTTAGGTTCCTTTCTTCTTCTGGAATCACTTCCTTCTGATTGTATGTTCATTTGCTACTCCTGTTCCTTATTCAGTAGTCTTTTGATTCTTTGTTTCTACAGGTAACATTAACGTTACTGTATTTCCTATAACCATGTCTGCCAACATTGATTGTTGCTGAGTATTATTATTGGTATTCCGATTATTGGTATTACTACTGTTATTATTATTGTTTCTGGTCGCATTATTGTTATCACTATTATTATTATTATGGTTCCTATTATTGTTACGACTACTATTGTTGTTGTTGTTTCCTCCATTATTATTTTGTGGATAGTCCTTACTGTAGTGTCCTAATTCCTGGCAACAATAACATCTGGCTCCTATGGCCATCAGGAAAACGTGTTTTTTGATACATATATTATATGTATATTATACATGTATTATTTTACATTACAGGTGATCTGCATATAATATATGTATAATTCGTGTGTAATTTATGGACATGTGTATTATATGTATATTATATGCGGATCACCTGTAATGTAAAATAATACACATATAATATACATATAATATGTGTATCAAAAAAAACACATTTTCCTGATGACTGTTTCCACTGTTGTTACTATTGTTATTACCATTGTTGTTACCATTAGAGAGTTGTGGACAATTCGGTTTTACATGACCCTGTTGTTTACAGTTGTAGCATGTTACCGGCGAACGGTTTTCACCATTCTGAATCCTTGGTCTCTGCTGGACATTATTATTTCCTTTTATTAGGTTAACCAGTTGATCAATTAACCCTTGCAATGATTGATTACTTCGTGGATTCATCCCTGGAATGCTAGGCATGAATTGTTCTGCTGAATACGCTGACAAGGTTCCTCCTCTAGAGTAAGTCATTTCATAAGCCTTAGTTCTTTCAATTGCATCTTGGATAGTGTCAGGTAAGAATGGACTTACTGCCATGGATAATTCTGGTCGTAACCTTTCTATGAACATTCTCGCTTTGACTCTTTCTGGATAGTTGTTTCCCCCATGTTCAATTCTCCTGAACAATTCATATATATGTGCTGCGAAAGCACCCACTGTTTCTCCAGGTAGTTGTTGTTTACGTTTTCCCAATTCTGCTACCCACCCTTCTTCCATTGCTTTTGACTTATATCTCCTTTTGAAAGTTCGGAACAAAGCTTGCTGCTATTGTATTATTATTAGTGTTATCATCCTACCGGTCTATATTTCCCCTGACTTGAGTCCACCATGTTGCTTCTCCTTTTAATCTTGGTACTGTCATTGCTAGTCTTCTATTATTTGCTACTCTATTCGTTACAATGGCCTTTTCCATTTCTTCCAATCATGTGATTGGGTCCTGATCTCCTCCATAGTATTCTGGGTACTTAACATTATTTAATTCGGCAGGTGCTGCCGTTGCTGGTGGATGGATTGCATTTAGGTTGATTAAAAAGTTGGTTGAAACCAAATGTTGATTCGTTTGAGTTACTGTCTGAATCACTATCTGAGTTTGAATCACTAAATATTGTTGAGTCACTACTTTCACTAGGATTGTCTTCTTCTTCTTCTTCAGTTATGGGTTCCGGGGTGCTTCGTTCAAGGCTATCCTAAAGTAATGAGTTCCTCTAGCTGCTAAAAAGTAATCCTGAACTATTGTATTTAAACTTCTCGGGTGTACTCTGTATCTAATACTAATTAATAATACTCTGACAAGTTGTATTAGTTGAACTGGACCTTGTTCTAATAATATTTGTTCGAAAGTGGTTACAGTTTCTGAAGTGCACTCTATCGCTTGATGTGTTTCTTGTATCCAATCCCAAAAGATTGAAATTGTGGTGAAAAATTTCGATTGATAGGATGACAAATTGAACAAGATATATCACTATGTGCTTGTGATATATCTCTTATATGTGGGTATTTGGTTATGGATCCTTGTATTTTCCTGGATGATTTGTATTGTTTCTTGACTAGGATCTATGTTCATTCAATTAATCCTCGTAAGGATCTTCGTCGTATGGTACTTCTTCAGGAATGTCTTCAAAGGAAACTTCTTCCCGAAAAATAAATTACTCTTTAATTATTTTTGTTGCAATTCTCTTCCGAACGCCCCTTTCTTTTGCAGTAGTTGCAAGATGGTTCCTTTTGGAAAACGAATTCGATCTCCTCTTCAATTAATCCTTGGATCCTGCAGTTTCTTTTAATGTATCCTTGAATCCCGCAGGAATAACACTTTTTGTTTAATGAGGATTTTTAAATGGCTTTTCTGCCTCTTGATAGTGTAACTTGAATAGTTGGTTTGGATTTTCAGCGAAATAGTTATAAACCAAATTGATAATCTTTTATAGAACTTGTTGATAAACACGTTTAAAAATTTCTGATTTAATTGATTCAATATTGTATTCTCTTAATTGCATTTACGAATCATTGATAGAAAATAAAGAATAAGGAGGTTACCTCATAAGGTATAAAATAAAAATAAAAATAAGAGGTAAAATAATTAACCTCGGAAGGTAATAGAATGAAAAAAATAAAAGCTACCTCGCAAGTTAATATATAAAATAAAAATAAAAATTGAAAATGTAAATTATGCAATTAAAAAGAATTCCGCAGATTTTTGATTATAGTTTATCTTGGTGTAAATTTCCACACAACTCGCACCAAGTTGTCACCGATTAAATTTGGGAGAGCGTATTTTAATAGGTGATGACAATTATTTTTGTTTTTGTGTGGATCAGAATGAATATCAACGAATCGAGCGAATAATTTTGTTTAAAAAAGATAAAAGCGTTAAATAAAATAAATATTTACTATTTTATCTATTTAGTTATTTAGTTTTTCTTAGTCAAAACTAATTAACTTATTTTACATTATACATATTCATTTACATATTAGCCCGAATTGGGCGAATCCGCCCACTTTGTACTTGGACGATTCCGCCCCGGTCCGGGATAATCGTCATTAATCTCTACTAAATAAAGTTAAATAAATATGAACGTGCTACGGATTGATTAATAATAATAATAATACGCGAAACGTAACACGAATTCAGATGATAATAAATAATTATCAACAACCAAAGGGTACAAACAAATCAGGTCATTAATTAACAATCCAATTCATAATAATAATGGCAAAAGGTTAATTCGAAATATACGTTGTGAATAACTTTTAAAAGTCAAAGATATCAATAATTAAATATATAGAAGCTTTTGGTCTTTATATACGTGATCGGAATTAGATAAACTCATTATCATCATTGTTGTATTGTTCATATATATATGTATGTGTTTATTATGATGGGAAATGAATGAAATAATAAAATAAAGATTTATAATTATTTGTATCACTAATATATAATAAGGAGGTCGGTCCATCCATATTAAGTGGATCATATACGGCGATCAATTAACTAATACCAATTAAAATAAATCATGTGAGTTATGGTGCCCCCTAATGGAAAAAAGGGGTAAGTAAATACATGAATGATTTATTTCTTTAAATACTGCCCTATAAAACTTTAAAATTTTTTTCTCCAAAAAAAAAATTATGAGCCAAAATCAAAATTCAATTATTCCAGTGGATACTCAAATTGATTCAATATTGGAGGAGAACGAACCACAAGTTACACCAACTGAAACCACTTCATTACTTGAAAATGCCGAGCCTTTCCGACGATATAGTCATTTCCCCTCGAATGATAGTAATAAGTTGGTTTTTGCTATAATACCAAGAGTATATCCTTAGTCAATGTTTTATTAATTAATTAATAATTAACAATTTTTTTAATAGTGGTAATCAGCACCCAAAAAGACCTTTTGTTAATAGAAGACACACCTGGAACCCTTCACACATTCGTAAACTTACAGCTCCTATAACGCATTATAAAAGGCGAAGCGGCTTTTATGATGAAGATAAACATGAGTTAGTTCGTGAAGGTGGCGGAATTCGTGTCTGGTATGATGATTACACAACTATTGGTAAGTACTTCCCCGATCTGAATAATTTTTTATATTAGATCATACTATAACACGTGACACATGACATCAGATTGGATCCATGATTATATTAAGGAACGTGTCCGAGTTCGTAAATTGTACTCTCGTAAAGGTTTCTCGGGATGGGTTATAAAATCTTGGGACGGTTTACAAGGATGGATTTTGGTATTTCTTATTGGTAATTATTACCTATTTTCTTTTTTGATATCACCTTCCTCACAAATTTAATTAACTATTATTTTTAATTTGATTTGCGTCAAGGTGTTGTTGTTGCATGTGTTGCTGGAATAGTTGATGTAACTGCCGAATGGGGTTCAGATTTAAAGGATGGATATTGTTCAAATGGTATTACATTGAAAAAACATTTTTGCTGTGAAAATCAAAAACTTGGTATGAAAAATTTTTCAAAATGTTTATAGTAGTAATGTATGAGAAACTTTTTAATTTTTATACACATTTGCATATATATTTATCTTACTCAGAATCATGTGCCGAATGGGTTGAATGGTCCAGTGCATTTAAAATGGAAGATTCCAAAAAAAGCGCTTGGTTTAATTATTTTGCCTATGTGTTTGTTGCTGTAAGCTTTTTCAGAACATCAATATATTACTTTTACAAAATTTATTAATATAGATAATAATTGATTATTTTATAAAGTTTTGTTTTGCAGTTGGATCAGCCTTACTTGTGAAACACAATTCACTTTATGCATCACCTTCTTCAAAACGTTCAATAAGATCAAACAATAATTCACAAAAAAGTAGACAACCTAAACCATATGCTTCTGGTAGTGGTATACCTGTGTTGCTTCTCCTTTTAATCTTGGTACTGTCATTGCTAGTCTTCTATTATTTGCTACTCTATTCGTTACAATGGCCTTTTCCATTTCTTCCAATCATGTGATTGGGTCCTGATCTCCTCCATAGTATTCTGGGTACTTAACATTATTTAATTCGGCAGGTGCTGCCGTTGCTGGTGGATGGATTGCATTTAGGTTGATTAAAAAGTTGGTTGAAACCAAATGTTGATTCGTTTGAGTTACTGTCTGAATCACTATCTGAGTTTGAATCACTAAATATTGTTGAGTCACTACTTTCACTAGGATTGTCTTCTTCTTCTTCTTCAGTTATGGGTTCCGGGGTGCTTCGTTCAAGGCTATCCTAAAGTAATGAGTTCCTCTAGCTGCTAAAAAGTAATCCTGAACTATTGTATTTAAACTTCTCGGGTGTACTCTGTATCTAATACTAATTAATAATACTCTGACAAGTTGTATTAGTTGAACTGGACCTTGTTCTAATAATATTTGTTCGAAAGTGGTTACAGTTTCTGAAGTGCACTCTATCGCTTGATGTGTTTCTTGTATCCAATCCCAAAAGATTGAAATTGTGGTGAAAAATTTCGATTGATAGGATGACAAATTGAACAAGATATATCACTATGTGCTTGTGATATATCTCTTATATGTGGGTATTTGGTTATGGATCCTTGTATTTTCCTGGATGATTTGTATTGTTTCTTGACTAGGATCTATGTTCATTCAATTAATCCTCGTAAGGATCTTCGTCGTATGGTACTTCTTCAGGAATGTCTTCAAAGGAAACTTCTTCCCGAAAAATAAATTACTCTTTAATTATTTTTGTTGCAATTCTCTTCCGAACGCCCCTTTCTTTTGCAGTAGTTGCAAGATGGTTCCTTTTGGAAAACGAATTCGATCTCCTCTTCAATTAATCCTTGGATCCTGCAGTTTCTTTTAATGTATCCTTGAATCCCGCAGGAATAACACTTTTTGTTTAATGAGGATTTTTAAATGGCTTTTCTGCCTCTTGATAGTGTAACTTGAATAGTTGGTTTGGATTTTCAGCGAAATAGTTATAAACCAAATTGATAATCTTTTATAGAACTTGTTGATAAACACGTTTAAAAATTTCTGATTTAATTGATTCAATATTGTATTCTCTTAATTGCATTTACGAATCATTGATAGAAAATAAAGAATAAGGAGGTTACCTCATAAGGTATAAAATAAAAATAAAAATAAGAGGTAAAATAATTAACCTCGGAAGGTAATAGAATGAAAAAAATAAAAGCTACCTCGCAAGTTAATATATAAAATAAAAATAAAAATTGAAAATGTAAATTATGCAATTAAAAAGAATTCCGCAGATTTTTGATTATAGTTTATCTTGGTGTAAATTTCCACACAACTCGCACCAAGTTGTCACCGATTAAATTTGGGAGAGCGTATTTTAATAGGTGATGACAATTATTTTTGTTTTTGTGTGGATCAGAATGAATATCAACGAATCGAGCGAATAATTTTGTTTAAAAAAGATAAAAGCGTTAAATAAAATAAATATTTACTATTTTATCTATTTAGTTATTTAGTTTTTCTTAGTCAAAACTAATTAACTTATTTTACATTATACATATTCATTTACATATTAGCCCGAATTGGGCGAATCCGCCCACTTTGTACTTGGACGATTCCGCCCCGGTCCGGGATAATCGTCATTAATCTCTACTAAATAAAGTTAAATAAATATGAACGTGCTACGGATTGATTAATAATAATAATAATACGCGAAACGTAACACGAATTCAGATGATAATAAATAATTATCAACAACCAAAGGGTACAAACAAATCAGGTCATTAATTAACAATCCAATTCATAATAATAATGGCAAAAGGTTAATTCGAAATATACGTTGTGAATAACTTTTAAAAGTCAAAGATATCAATAATTAAATATATAGAAGCTTTTGGTCTTTATATACGTGATCGGAATTAGATAAACTCATTATCATCATTGTTGTATTGTTCATATATATATGTATGTGTTTATTATGATGGGAAATGAATGAAATAATAAAATAAAGATTTATAATTATTTGTATCACTAATATATAATAAGGAGGTCGGTCCATCCATATTAAGTGGATCATATACGGCGATCAATTAACTAATACCAATTAAAATAAATCATGTGAGTTATGGTGCCCCCTAATGGAAAAAAGGGGTAAGTAAATACATGAATGATTTATTTCTTTAAATACTGCCCTATAAAACTTTAAAATTTTTTTCTCCAAAAAAAAAATTATGAGCCAAAATCAAAATTCAATTATTCCAGTGGATACTCAAATTGATTCAATATTGGAGGAGAACGAACCACAAGTTACACCAACTGAAACCACTTCATTACTTGAAAATGCCGAGCCTTTCCGACGATATAGTCATTTCCCCTCGAATGATAGTAATAAGTTGGTTTTTGCTATAATACCAAGAGTATATCCTTAGTCAATGTTTTATTAATTAATTAATAATTAACAATTTTTTTAATAGTGGTAATCAGCACCCAAAAAGACCTTTTGTTAATAGAAGACACACCTGGAACCCTTCACACATTCGTAAACTTACAGCTCCTATAACGCATTATAAAAGGCGAAGCGGCTTTTATGATGAAGATAAACATGAGTTAGTTCGTGAAGGTGGCGGAATTCGTGTCTGGTATGATGATTACACAACTATTGGTAAGTACTTCCCCGATCTGAATAATTTTTTATATTAGATCATACTATAACACGTGACACATGACATCAGATTGGATCCATGATTATATTAAGGAACGTGTCCGAGTTCGTAAATTGTACTCTCGTAAAGGTTTCTCGGGATGGGTTATAAAATCTTGGGACGGTTTACAAGGATGGATTTTGGTATTTCTTATTGGTAATTATTACCTATTTTCTTTTTTGATATCACCTTCCTCACAAATTTAATTAACTATTATTTTTAATTTGATTTGCGTCAAGGTGTTGTTGTTGCATGTGTTGCTGGAATAGTTGATGTAACTGCCGAATGGGGTTCAGATTTAAAGGATGGATATTGTTCAAATGGTATTACATTGAAAAAACATTTTTGCTGTGAAAATCAAAAACTTGGTATGAAAAATTTTTCAAAATGTTTATAGTAGTAATGTATGAGAAACTTTTTAATTTTTATACACATTTGCATATATATTTATCTTACTCAGAATCATGTGCCGAATGGGTTGAATGGTCCAGTGCATTTAAAATGGAAGATTCCAAAAAAAGCGCTTGGTTTAATTATTTTGCCTATGTGTTTGTTGCTGTAAGCTTTTTCAGAACATCAATATATTACTTTTACAAAATTTATTAATATAGATAATAATTGATTATTTTATAAAGTTTTGTTTTGCAGTTGGATCAGCCTTACTTGTGAAACACAATTCACTTTATGCATCACCTTCTTCAAAACGTTCAATAAGATCAAACAATAATTCACAAAAAAGTAGACAACCTAAACCATATGCTTCTGGTAGTGGTATACCTGAAGTTAAAACAATTTTAAGTGGCTTTGTTATTCGTGGATTCCTTGGTATAAGAACACTTTGGGTTAAAGCCATTGCATTGGTTTGTATATTATTATTATTATTATCAAGTAAACTTGTCACAGATATTTTATTTTATTTTATTAATTGAATCCATTAGGCAATGGCAGTATCGTCTGGAATGACTCTTGGAAAAGAAGGCCCATTTGTTCATATAGCATGTTGTGTTGGCAATGTGATAAGTAGATTATTCCATAAATATAATAAAAATGAAGGGAAAAGAAGAGAAATATTATCTGCATCAGCTGCAGCTGGTGTAAGTGTAGCATTTGCTGCACCAATTGGTGGTGTATTGTTTTCTTTGGAAGAAGTTAGTTATTATTTTCCAAGTAAAACTTTGTGTAGAAGTTTCTTTTGTGCAATTGTAGCAGCCGTTTCTCTAAAGGTTTTTAAACAAATACTTTTTTCTAATTCATTAAAATTTTTATTTTTTTATTAAATAAAAAATTTTTGTTTTTAATTATTCATTAGCTTATAGATCCATTTGGCACTGGTAAAATTGTAATGTTTCAAGTAAAATATGATAAAGACTGGCATTTTTTTGAAATTGGATCATTTCTAATCCTTGGTATATTAGGTGTATGTAGTAAAGAAACCAATTTTCACATTATGGGATATATAAAAATAATCAGTCAATTATTTTCTATTATTTAGGGATTATTTGGAGCACTATTATGTAAATGCATTATTTTATACACTAAATATGTTAGAACTGTCACTTATGACGTCAAACAAGTTTTTCGAAGCTCTCAAGCAAATGCCATTAGATCCTTTAATCCTTGAAGAAAAGTTTCCATATATCTATTTATTATCATCAAATACTTCGTTTTCTACATCTTTAAACAACAATCGATGCAGAACTCAATTTATTGAACGAGAAACAAAAACATGAATCTAAAGATTTTTATATAAAAATCGATAAACTTGCCGAAAAGATTTCTTTATTCTATTAAGAAATTCAACAAAGATTACACGAAAAAGATACTTTAACCAATAATTCAAGTAATTCTCGAGGCAAGCTCGCTCCAACAAACATATATCCCGCCTAATCATCTTTGGCAAGAAACTCATAGTAAACCAAATATTTTTTTATCCTCAGCTTCAAAAACGCACAACATTTTCGTGCGAAAATTTAAAACCTTTTCGACGAAACTATGCAGGAAAAGATTATTCTATATAAGGCTGGCATGATAAATGAAGTTTTGAACGATCTTATAAATGAGAAAAACATAAGGACCATCTCGAACAAAGCACTAGAAAATTTTACAATCAAACAACACCAGACCGTAGGTGCAATTAAAGCCTGGATTGAACTCAAAGTTAAAGAAAAAAATAAAATCAAAAATAGCAATACTTATAATAATGATATAATTAATTCTAACAATGGTAGATAGATATAATAATTAATGAAAACATATAAATTATTTGGTTTTTGTTAAAATTATAGTTGTTCGCGGAAATAGTTTTGCAATATAATTTTGGGCTAACTATCGCGAGAGAGAGAGAGAATATACTGACAAATATTTTTTTCACAACTTCTTACTTCAAACATGGTTAACCAAAACATTGCAAAGTTTTAGTTAGCCGTATATTAGGTTTTTTTGGACCGATCAGATTCTTTTTGAATCCGAAGAAATCTTGCATCCTATTAATTAAGCATAGGTGTGGGGTAAAGATTTTTCAGTCAAGTCCAACACCTAAATTTAATACGTTAGACTTAATTAAAATATCTAAATGGAATTTTTCGGTTTTTAAAAAAGTTCTTTATTTATTATTGAACCTTTATATAAAAAGAAATGTGTGTTAAATAGAAATAATATTTTAACTATCATGGGACTTGTAATTGAATCTTTGCAAAAGTGCCCCATTGATTATAATCTTGATATTGAGACGATATAATAGGGAATTAATATTTTGAAAGAGGACTTGATTGGCGGATTAATACTTTCAAGCCTACTCATAAAGTGTCACTCGTGGCAAAGAAAGGTCAACTTTGTTGTGAAAGGTTCATAATATTAGTTATTTTATTTACTTGGTTAAAAAATTTGTTACTGCTTGAATGGTGTATAGGACATATAAGAAAATAATTAATAAAATCTATCATAGAAAATGCCCTGAATAATCCTCATTTATTGAGAGAGCAAGCATCTATGATAAATGGGATTTTATGTTCTATAATATTTGGGACATGCCCCATTTATTGTTCTGGAAATCAAAATAAATTAAATCAACCTAATCTTCTTTTTTTCCTTCCATCTCCTTTAAATATCTTAGTAACCACTTTTTGTGTATAACACCAACATATTGACCA